AGTAATATTTCACCAATTTAGAAATGAAGACACATTTTTCCAATTTTGTATGGTTAGCTTTTAAGATGATGAAAATATTATGCCATGATGACCAAGTACGTGATTTCAGAGTATTTGAATTGTTGTCGTTTATTATTAAGCACAAAGCTACACAAAGGGCTGTCTGTGCTCTGCCCACCATGGGCATCGAAACCCGGTTTCTAGCAGTATAAGTCCGTAGACATACCGCTGTGCCACTGGGGGAGGGGGAAGAGTAGCAGTTGAAAGCAATAATTATGTAAAGGCAGGTTGTATTTCCAAACATATGTCCATAATTACATTTTCAGCCTTAAGAGTTAAGTTTACTGAAATGTTATCAGTTTAATCATTTTGCTTTTTGCAACACATGGCCTTGTTTTTTAATGCCTATGGTGATAGGGATCGTATTTAATTCAGTTATTCATACAAGTAAAAAAATCTATAATTAGGATTGTTTGTGTGTTGTAAAGCACAATGCTACACAATGGTTTATTTATTATGTATACACAAATTGGTTTTGAGATTATAGGAAGAGTTAGGCAGGTGACGTCACATGTTTTAATGAGCCTCCTTGTACAGAAAGTTTTAAAATAATATTAGGCAATTGAATTTTTTCTATTTTTCTTGAAAAAATCTGAATTCACATTTATATGATAAAATAGAAATAAACTTCTGTTAGTTTCATAAATAAGTTATTGTTTCTAAAATAGAAATAAACTTCTGTTAGTTTCATAAATAAGTTATTGTTTCTAAAGTAATTTAGTTACAGGCATTTTTATTGTTATATCTGAACAAAGGTAATTTATAATGTATGTAAGTTTTTCCCATTATGCTAATAATACATCATACATTTTTCGCGGTAAGCCTATTTTTACCTAGAGCTATTAAGTATACTAAAGAACAATGTCGTGTTTGATTAGACTACAGTACAACAGAGTTCAGCTGAAATCTTTGCGTGAGCTCTTTAGCATTCCCTTATACAAAATCATTAGTAAATTAATAAAAATAGTCATAGTTCACTAAAGAATTCATACTTATTGAAAGAGTTGGCTGGAGTTTGTTATCAGTTCTTTTTTTTCTAAGATGATTCAAGTATTTTATGGAAACGAATCAGTGATAAGGGTAAAAACTTAAAGATTTGTTTGTTTGAAAATCTTTAGTGCACTAAAAGTTTTCAAAATGTATGTTTTTGCATAC